GGTGTATCTCTGCTAAAAAAAACCCAGGGCTAAATCTGGCTAAATCCTGCTTTGTAACGCAGCAGTCTGGACCCGTGTTGCTGATAAGATAACCGAGGTGTGCAGTGACTCACCGGCTGCTTGGTCTGGCCTTTCTGTGGTTTGCTGTAGGGGCTATATTTCGGTTTGGCTGGTTTACCTGCTGCTCGGTCTTTATGACGCCGGCTGCTGATGTGCTGGAAATGAGAGACAGATTCAAAACGAGTCACACTTTTAATGTTGTCCTTTTACTGCGGTTATTCCAATATTAAAATGACTATTAAGTCATTTGTTTTTCTGACTTAATCATTAAACCACCTCCAACACAGAGCAGGGTGTCCTCTTCATGCTCTACTGAAAAATATCCACATTCAGTTTCATAACAGTCTGTCTGAGACAGCCTCTTACTGCAGCAATAAAATGTGCAAATGTGGTAAAGTGTTTTGAATGTGTGCACCAATCTGTTAACGTGAATACGGTTTGTACTTGTACAGAAGCAGTCAAATGGAAATAGATTGGGAGGCATCACTGAGATGGAAATGTGCATTTATTTTTTTCTTCTTAACCCTGTAAAGTCTGAACAATGAAATAGTTTCCAGAAAATTCACATTTTTAAAAACTGGTGTGTTTATTGAACCTCCGGACAAATGTAAAAATCTAAAAACTGAATATGAATTTGCATATATGCATTTTAATCTGTGTCATTTTGCTATTTATTGCTCATAGGTTACCTAAGACAAACAAAAGGTTTAAACTAATGAGATAAACAAAAATCACGTTTAAACGTTTCTGATGTGTGCTCAGAGTCGAGCAGACATTTGAAGGTTTCTTTACACCTAAACAAACCAGACAACGCGCACACAGTGCAGATTCAGAATAGGCACACAGTTGCAAATCATACTGCTACACTAATACCCCCATAAATGGGCCACTGCACAGAAAAACCAGAAAAATCGAGCTCTTTTCATCATCGTCACCTCTGTTTTTTTCACATCCTTTTCATGAACTGAGGAGTGAACACGGGGAACAGAAAAGGAGGTACAATAACCAAAAATATACCTCTTGACTCATGGCAAAAGATCTTACAGCTTTATGGTTTTCACACCTGTAGTGAAAATGTCTGCAAGTTACACTGCAGAGCTTTTTACTAAATGCCACAGTATATCCCATTAAATACAATTCATTTTGAAACGCTCGGAGCATCGGGCCAGATCTGAATAAACCAATAAAATAGAAGACAGAGAATTACAGTCTGACCTAAAGCCAGCATATTCAGAGTGGGTACATGCTGACAACAAAAGGAAAATTTCTGGCTGTGTCTAAATTTCACAAGTCCTTGCAGTGGGCTTAACAATCACACTTTTCTTCTGCTTTCAGCTCTAACTAAAATGTGTCATGCTGGATTCTTTTCACAGAGAATTGCTGCTGTTCAGAAGTACTCAGCAAAAGTCCTCGCATGAAAAATTCATACGAATCCCGTCTGTCTTCAGGGAGAAAACTCGAGGTTAGCTCAGACTAAACAGAGTGGTCTTCAGCTACTGTAGAAGACGTTTCCCCCACATGACAGGATGATCAGCACTACAAGAAAAGAAGATTTGCACAGTGTCCGCACGAAGCTATTTCAGTCACAGTTGCATCTTTGTCACCTCTTATCGTACCTCACTTAATCTAAAATTAAAACAGGCAACTCCTTGACTGCACACTTTAACCAGCTTTTTTTTTTAAGGATTTCTGCATTCATAAAGACCTCAGACAGATATCCAACAGGAATAAAGGTAAAACTCATTACTAGTTGCTCTTTAAATCCAGTCTGGCTCGTACGTGACTTTAAATAAATTTGTTTTTAAAGAGGAACAAAATACCATTTTTCAGATTCAGACATTCAAACATCACCAAAGAATCTAAAATAATCCTCAACTGAAAGAAACATCCATAAGCGGCAGGTTCATATCTCGAGGCGAGGATGAATTCGCTCTCCCAGCAGCTGCAGGTAAATGCAAGTTTTATAGTAATACGTTTAAAATAATAATGTAGTGTACTGTGCTTT